CGGTGAGTGGCAATCGGCGTTGGTTTGTGTTCAGATGTTTGCGTCAGAGGGGTTAGGTGTATCGCGTTCAGATGAGTCACACGTTCGAAATAAATGAGAATATCCGTAGCTCGGGATGTGGATGCGGATTTTGAGCGGTTCTCCGAGCTGAGTGATTATTGTGCAGACGTTTCGTTGCCTGACTAGGCAATATCATCAGTGCAGCTTCAGGGGCCTGGTTCGCAGTGCCTCGTAAGCGATTTCAATGTTTAAGTGCTTATTGACCGAGTTCTGTTTTGAATGCCAGGCTCCAATGAACTCACGTGCTTGCCGGCTTTTAGTCCTTCCGAGGATACTGCCAGTGCATATGGATGCTGTGAACCATCAATTCGACATAGAGCATGTCAGGATCCTCGGAAGGGCTAAAAGCCGGCAAGCGCGTGAGTCCATTGAAGCCTGGCATTCAAAGCAGAACTCGATCAATAAACGCTTGGACATTGAAATCGCTTACGAGACACTGCGAACCAGGCCCCTGAAGCTGCACTGATGATATTGCCTAGTCAGGCAACGAAACGTCTGCACAATAATCACTCAGCTCGGAGAACCGCTCAAAATCCGAGTCACACGTTCCTTAGGGTAGCTAGGCGACGTGTGTGCTATCCAGCTAGCCGGTAAGTGGATAGGCTGCGATGCAATGTAGGATTGAGGCGAAGCAAGATGACCTGGAAAATACTGTCTAATGACGACAGTGGCTATTCTAATAGCGTCCTTGAACCCTCAAGGTTTTCTTGCTTTAGCAGCTCTTCAGGTATTAACGAAAGCAAACGCTCGGTTACACCTCTCTGCTGGTGATCGTCCGCTTGTTGTTTTAAACCAGACGGTTAGACTGACTTACGTTGCGTCAGCATAAGCCGTTCACGAACGAGTTCAGTATGGATCACAGTGTGCGTGTGCACCTGACGAAGCACCTGTAGACACAACTAACACTTGTATTTCCTCCCCGCGTCTTCTTGTTGTTTATAATCGCAGCCTTCCGTTTCGAAGCATTCTTCGCGGCCTTAACAGAGAGAACCGCTGAAGGCATGATGCGCAGAGCAACAGACACAATATAACACAGTTAATGTTTTCGATGACGTACCTATAGGGCTGTAGCATTTCGGTTGAGCGAACTTATTCTAGTCGGATGATTGGAAGTCTTACAGACAATATTTAGATTACAGTAACAAAATATATCAAACCCGAGGTTTCTGAGGCACTTCTAGTCAGTTCACCAAATTGGTGGTTCAACACTAACTGTACGTTAATGCATTTTGAAGTACACACAGCGCTTGCGGTGTTTTGAGTCCCCGGGCTGAAGCTGCCCTGATTGACTGGATCCCAGTAAACAGTAGGATGTGCGCCGTTAGATTAGCTGGTTCGTTCCGTGCCACGAAGTCGCGCGGGGACAAACGGTGCCTGTTTGTCATTGCGGCCTACGCCCCTACAAACTGTAGCATTGATTCGGTAAAAGATGCTTTCTATCAGCAACTTCACGAGCTCCTTCGTTACAGAAGAAGCACGGATACTGTGGTGTTGGCTGGTGATCTAAACGCCCAAGTCGGGAAATTGTCCTCTGATGAGCTTCATCTGGGCGGCCAACATGGTGTGGGCTCCCGTAATGATAATGGTGAGCGATTGCTACAGCTGTGTGAAGATGCTCGCCTCTTTCTCGCGAGCACTAACTTTCGACACAGCACCCGCAGAAGTGTGTCTTGGCGGCCAGCAGCCTCGGGCCAGCCATGGACGCAAATCGATCATATCGCGATCAGTTACCGCTGGAGAGGCTGTGTCCAAAACTGCCGCTCGATTTGGAGCACGAGCGTGGACTCTGACCACGCACTTGTCTGCGCCGAACTCCGAGTGCGTTTCGATGGACGTCCGCAACCTCGATGTGAACGGATTGACACCAGCCAGCTGGCGAAGCCAGATGTTCTGAATGTGTACCAAAGCGCGCTGACATCTGGGCTGAGCAGGCGCCCACTAAACACCGTTGAAGATCACTGGTCGCATATTCGTCAAGCGTTGCTGTTAGCAGGCATGTCTTCATGTGGCAAAGCAAATTGCCAAACCGGACATTGGGTCTCTACACAGTCTCTGGAACTTATGGATGCCCCCCACGTATTCCGGCTGGAAACGAATACAATGAGACTTGCAAAAATTTCAGGGCAAAACTACGTGCTAGCCTGAAGAAGGATCGCAAAACCTGGTGGTCTCATCGTGCATCGGAAATGGAAACAACCGCTGCCGTTGGTAATCATCGTAAGTTATTCCGTCTGATATGGGAAACAGGCAGCAGAAGACCTGGTGTTAGCGAGACCATACGCGACGAGAGTGGGCAGCCGATCCACAGCCTGTCAAAACGCTTGGAGCATTGGGCTGAACACTTTGCAAGGCAATTTAATCTATCTGAGTTATCGTTTTCTTCTTCGGGCATTGAGCGCCCTTCTATCTGGGCCGTCTCCTTGGATCCGCCAGCACGTGCAGAAGTCGAACGTGAGATCAGGCTGTTGAAATTGCATAAGGCCGTAGGGGCAGATAGAATTCCCCCAGCCCTCTTCAATTTCGGGGGATGTGCTCTAATAGATGATATACACGAGTTGCTAGTAAAACTTTAAGAGCAGGAGACAGTCCCGACAGACTGGAACCGCTCCGTCATTGTCCCAATTTTCAAGGGAGGCTCCCATTTCGAATGCGGCAATCATAGAGGGATCAGTCTGATTTCGATTGCCTCTAAATTGCTTGCCTCTATCATTCTCCACAGACTGACTGGTACTCGTGAAAGCCAGATTCGTGAAGAGCAAGCCGGGTTTCGTCAAGGTCGCGGCTGCATCGACCACATCTTCACATTGCGTCAATTGTTGGAGCACCGCCATGTTTATTGGCGACCAACCGTTGTCGTGTTTCTTGACATAAAAGGTGCCTTCGACTCAGTCGATCGATGTGCCCTTTGGGACTGTCTGCTGAGGAAAGGTGTGCCTGATAAATATGTAAATATTATCAAAGCGCTGTACGCGCATAGTTCGGGCAGGGTGAGGGTTTTATGGCAAACTCTCTCCACCCTTCCGTATCACCAGCGGCTTGAGACAAGGATGCCCGCTGTCACCTTTCCTCTTCAACTTCGCTATTGATGAAGTCATGGAAACAGCGTTCGCTGGACACGACCTAGAAGGTGTGGAATTACTTCCTGGTGAGCGACTTCTTGACTTGGAGTATGCGGACGATATTGCCCTAATCTGTGACAGCTCCCAAACATGCCAAATAGTACTGGACCGATTAGCACTGGCTGTCAATCATTTTGGGCTATGCTTTGCTCCATCGAAATGCAAAGTACTTCTCCAAGATTGGCAGGGACCCAACCCTGCGCTAACGCTTGGTGGTGATCTGCTAGAAGTCGTTCAGGAATTTAAGTACCTGGGCAGCTATATTAGCACCCGTGGGATTGAAGATGAGGTTACGAACCGTATAGCAAAAGCTCGAGGTGCTTTTGCCAATCTCCGCCACCTGTGGCGCAGACGCGACATTACTCTGGCCCTCAAGGGCAGAGCTTACAACGCAGCCGTACGTTCAACTCTCTTATATGGCTGTGAAACCTGGCCCATCAGGTCGACAGACATGAAGAGGCTCGTCACAATCGATCATCGCTGCCTGCGCAGCTTAGCTCCTGTCTGGTGGGAACATCGCGTGAGCAATGTGCGTGTTCGACGTCGCGTATTTGGTGCAGGAAGAGCGAGTGAACCGCTCAGCACCATTATATCACGCACCAGGCTCCGATGGCTGGGCCACGTGTTGCGCATGCCAGCACACCGACTCCCGCGACGTGCACTGTTTGCTCGTTGTGGGTGCGGTTGGAAGAGGAGGAGGGGAGGCCAAGTGATGACTTGGTCGAGAGGAATGAAAACCCTCACTTCGAAGTTGGCGTCGGTTGGTGCATCCCGATTGCCTGGCTGGGGTCCTAAGGATGGTGAACACGTTTGGTTGGACACACTCGCTGATATGGCTAGGAGCCGGCCCCAATGGCGTTTGTGTTGTGAGTTCCTTTGTCCATCCCCTCCTGCTTAGCATCCCCTCCAATCATGATCTCACCTGATAGGTATAATGTGACTCTTTTACGGCAGCCAGCTGTTAGCTCTCCGGAATGATGTCCATCCGTCACTGGGGACTCAGCCGGCGTGCCACCGTTTGTTTTCCTATTCTTATCTTTTGTATTGCGGCACAATAGCTGAGGTGTTTTCCACCTCCAGCTAACGTGTAATGATGATGATGATGATGATGCGGTGCTAAAACCGTTAAACTCCATGGGTTTGCGTCATACATGGCCACTATTAGGATTAGCTTGTTGACTCAAATATTTGTTCAGTGCGCTGGTAGTTCTGTGACAGATAAAACCAACTGTCATCACAATGGGTTTCTGGGATATACTCTGCACTTGCAGCGGCAGTTTTTCCTCCTAATTGCTTTATAAGTTGCACTCAGATGAATGTGAACACCAGTTTGTTGCATGAGATACTCTCGGACGGTTTATTATCTCACTCAACAATTTATTGCGCCCTGCATCCAAAAAATTGATACTCTAATCCAAATCTAATAGTTATTATCCAGTCTATGCATTGCTAAGTCACTTTGCCACCTGGAAACTAAAATTAGTTCACAACAGCCTTTGTGTTCAGCTCCATTCAGCTTTATAAACGCTAGACGTCATAGTGATTGCGGATCTACCAGCTTCACCGGTCTGCTAATTTCTGCGTTTCAGCATCCCTTGGTCTAAACCTGAGTGCAAGTTTGCGATGACTGCCTTTTAGTAATAGCCATGGTGAACAAAGGCGTTGCCAAGGTCATCTATCAATTTGGGTCAGGAACAGCCTTGCTTGACCGAATAGCAAACCAGAAAGATTAAATAGCTTTGACCATTGGCTTTGCAACACTATTGGGAATTTAGGCTGAGCTCAGGTAACGTTAATCAAAAATCTCCGTGATACCTGGAAATGTACGGTCTGCTAATAATTGCAGTTCAAGACTTTGTTGAACAACACTTTGGTCCAGCTTTATGGCCCATTGTTGTGGAACGGGCTGGTTTACGAGTTGTAGAATTCAAGACCCAAAAAAGGTACCCAGACACTGTTATCAAAAAGATCGTTGATGCACTCAGTAGCGAAACTGGTCTTTCAGTGAAAGATCTTCGCTACTTGAACGGAACGTACTTTGCGTCGTACATAACTCAACATGGCTTTAAAAATCTTTTGCGGGTCTACGGACGAACGTTTATTTATTTCCTTCGCAATCTGGATGATATACATGAGCCGATGCGTTTCTCTTATCCGAGGCTCAGAGCACCGTCTTTCTCTGTTCTCTACGAATCGCCGTCACTCATACGCTTTTTATACTCATCCAAGCGCACAGGCTTTGACCACTATGTGCGGGGTCAGTTGGTGAATTTAGCCAAAAGCTTGTTCGACATTAACATTTTCATCAAGATCGTCAGTAAGAAGAAGGATGGTCCGGTGTATCATGTCACGTATGAGATAACCCATGATGGCAAAGGTTGGGAGATGCCTGAAGACTTACAGCTGAGTCGGGAATTACACAATTTAGGCACTACAATGAGGGGATCGGAATTTTTCAAACTCTCCTCATTCTACTTGCTCCTCGATCGACAGTTGAGGTTGGTGAAATCGAGTCCAACATTCAAGAGGCTGGATGCCACACTAGAACTTGCAAACTTTTCGGAAAAATTTGCTATACTTCGTCCTTACATCGAACCGACGTTTGAGAATGTGAGTTTCGTAGCGTCCGTTTGTTCTTGAGTTTATTCTTTGCAACAGTGGCACAATAGCTTATTTAATACGGGTAAGAAACCTAAAACGTATCAAGTCCATAGGATGGTCATGGTAACTAGTCAAACACATGGAAAGCTTGTGAGCAAAAGTAAGTTCACACCGGTGGACACACCGATGTACGATTAGTAGTAATGTACATACACTGCAAGGCAATAAGGAATGGTAATAAATGCGACGTGTTAAACAACCGTGTCACATTCTGGTGAACACGTGCAAGAGGCGAAAAGGTACAATTGACTCTGGAAGCTGACGTGCAATGAAATCGCTGACACATTAGTGTGTTGCCATGGGCATAGAGTTAGGTGAGGTGCTGCAACCAAATGAGCGCACCAACAACGCTGGCTTTGAACCCCACCAGCGTGGGAATACAGTTGCTAGCTTCCTGTGGGGTATTCTGTGGTTGGTAAACATGTAAAGGAAAGAAATACCGACGGTATTCCAAACGGCCGTACTGTTCTGCTAATTTGAGATATGGCCACTCAGATTGATATTGCGGCTGAGCCCCAGTAGATAATGTCACTTGTGGATGGGGTTCCCACACAATCGCCGGTATTGCCCGTTGCAGACCAAGAACACTATGTTTTTGTTCATATCAAATGGTGTGAGTTTTTGAACTTCTTTGTTGACGAGCTTTGAAGTGTCATCTCGATCATGGTTACCAGATCTTTGCTGCATATTTCACATTAAATCGAGCGAGAAGCTCCTGAAACTAGACGGGTTGAATTGTCTGAATGCAGGGTATGTACTTCACCTGTACTGAAAGTGCGGTTGCATATTGTAGTATAACTCACAGCAATTAATGTCGTTTTTTCCTCATGTTAAATCTTTCTCAATTTGAAAGAAATAGTTGTAAACTTGACAGGGTAAATTTACTAATTAAATGAAATGGCTTGGCTGTTATCATTTGCATGTGAATTTGCGAAATGATTATACTGCTTTAGGACCAGTTTAAGGCGCTGCACTCAGGCCAACTATAGTTAGCTGACCAAATTGGCTATATATGGGCTTCAAATTATCATCTGCGGCGGTTTTGGAAGTATACCCACTGCCAGAATTCTGCAGTTGGGTTTCCGTGAAATTTATCGCCCGAAAGGCTTCGTTTGATGTCGTCTATTAGATATGCCACTGTTACATATTTCATTTCGTCGATAGCACTTGAGTTCCCTCAGGAAGAACTTTGGACGATGCGTTTTTGATCTCAGCCAACGTACAAAAGTTAAGAGGGTGCATAATGACGCTACTTGTTTTCAAACATACTAACAGGTAACACGACCTTCTAGAAGTAAAAGCCACATGGTCTGTATTTTAGGTTACTTCGCTGTTCTTGTATTTTCTCAATGAAGTTTAACTGACGAAAACACTGGAATAGTTTTGTACTCAATTTGATCCACACCCACCGATACACACAATATAAGTCGGTTTATTGCTACCTGTCACGTAAAAGGTAGTTTCCTTTTAGCTTACGGAACATACTGTCCTCGATTGCTCGGTCCTGTGGACATATCTAACCATCCCATGCAGTCATCAACCCTGATAAATTCCACAAAATTTTTGTATCAACAGTACCACAACAGAGTGTCACAAGTTCATCACTAATTGACTTGCAATGGAGCAAGGGGTAATCGTCTCAAAGAGAACATTAAATCTGAAAACAGATTAATTATTTTGCCGAGCTCTATTTCCAGCGGATTTTTGGTGTGCAGTTTCTGTCGTATTATCTTGGCTAAACTAACGAGCACACATTCAATGAATTTTCCTTTTTCACAAACACGGGCTTTCCGATATATTTAGGCTAATGTTCTGTCTACTATAGCAAACTGAAAGAGTGATATGTGCTACAGCACCTCATAAACTGCAATCCCATGACCTTTACACTTCTATCCTGTCGCTTATTCATACCTTACCGGGGGCTATTCGAACCTGGAATAAAGTAGTCACAGGCCTACCAAACTGACAGCTAGACCACTGCTGTTCTGAGCTATTCTTCCGACAGGGACCATGATCAGCTTTTAATGCATGTCAAGTGTTTGCTGGATTTTCCGAACTTTGCTCTATTCTTTGGACAAGCAAAGAGAATTGAGGCTAGAATTCGTTATCAATGGCCATCCGTGGAGTATAGACGAATCAGTAAGAACTGTAAATGACTAAACTCAAGCAATATAAAAGTTAATACGCTAATGTAAACTTACAGTTGACAGGTTTTGCGGGACGTTTGGCAACTCGTACCATTTGGGATTTATTTATGACTTGCCACATGTTCAAATCTATTTGTATTTGAAAAAATGACACACGAAGAAAACTGATAGGTGCATGCATTGTGTCTTGTCCTCTCAGTAACATTAACAATAAGTGATATAGTCACATATAGCTAATGTTGAATGCACACAGAAAGGCCTAACGTGCATTGTGAAGGACAGTATTCGACTCTACGTCTAGAACTAACAGGGCTGACTTCATCCGGTTTATTTCGACAACCTCACCAACCGAAGGAAGCAGGTTATAGGGTAGTGAATCAAACTTTGAAAGCTGAGTCCAGCTCGATTCGGTGACTCGCGTCCAGGAGGTAGACTATCGAGAAGGCCGGCGGCCTACGCGGGCACGAATGTTGATTGGTTAGAAGGTCTGAGCAATTTCACGTTGAATCCATCTCAGGGTTAAATCTTAGAAGGCTGAGTTGCTGCAGTCAATTATAAAACGAGTGGATAGATACAAAGAATGAGCTGAACCTGGTCACAGACATTAACTTGTGGGCACGGTTTCACCTGAAGCATTAATGTCAATTGTTGAAAGGACTGCTGCTAGACAAATAGGTAAGTGCAAAGACTGCGCAGAGACCAGCAGCTAAATTCTCCCAGTGCTAAGACAGAATGCAGGATACAGAACCAATTCATACATCACAGTCGCAAGAACCTGGCTATTGGATGATTTTAACTTAATTACGCAACCCTCAGATAAGCGATAATGGAAGCTGTTTGATGTTTTATGCAAAAGCGTGTTCAGGGTGCTTTCTGATTCATCCTTCACTAGAATAACTAAACACATGTTGTAGGGGCAATTTTACTACACTCTTTGTCGCCACACGAACCATAATCAAGACGCTGTAAACATGTTTCAACACGAACAGCTAAGCCGAACGAGATACAAAGAGAAGGACACCAAAATGAAGACACTCATTCAAAGCTGAAAAAGTAGTGTCATATAAATAAAAATTCGTATCACAACGTTTGCTCATCCGTAGTGAACTCAACTGAGGTCAACCTGCTGTGTTGCAGCGCTTACAGTGCTTAAAGAGGGCCTGCCAATCCACATATTACCTGGAAGCAGCTCAATTACCATGTCTTACTCATCCATTTCGTTTCCTAAAGATCCTTGGCTTTACAATGAAACCCATAACGGTGATTTCACTGAGCGCTTTATCTTGAGTACATGCCATTTGAGTTACAAAGCAAATGATCCAACCCTACAGTTGGATCTGGAGAGCAATAAGTTTTGCTCATGTTTATTTTGTCTTTCTGAATGGCGGTGTCAGAGATTGCTAGATTGCAAATTTCGCTTTACTTCGGTGGCCCAAATTACGGCTAGTTGCGCATAGTTGCATTACTGAGTTGTTCGCGACTTAGCATAAAGACACACCAAATTGTTTTCTCTGTGACACTCAGTTTGATTTAGGCTCAGAATCTGTCAACTCGTTTGGTCAGCGGTCAATATGCACTAAGTTCGTAACAATACCGTTGCCCGAGGCGATTCCATGCCCAAACATGTACAATGAAATATCGTCGGGACAATAAACAAATTGAGACACACACCTCATTGCCCCATCTTGAATCTGATGGCACTGGGGCCTCCCCTTTTATTATTTCCATGGTGGCTTTGAACGATATGCACATTGCAGGCACGCCCCACATTGTGGCCTATGTGCCAGATCGTTTGGTTCCACTCGCCAAAGTCTCCTCTCTCAATGATGGATACGCTGGGCTGGCCCAGGTCGCAATAGAGTTTGCCGTCCATGAACTTGCTACCAAGGTTATCTATACATTGTTGCGGACATATGTGTACGACTGCCTGTTCCAAGTATCCGGGATAATATTGTCCGTTTTTGAACAAATAGGAGCAGGCTAATAGGCCCCTGTAGTCTTTTCAAGGAAACTATTTGCCCCCAATAATGCTATGGCGTTTTGGACGTTGCTAGTCTAGGGGCCTGAAGTGTGTGCAAGTACTTCATGACCTCTATCAAGTCAGATGTCTACATTTACATTGCCTTATATATGGTCAAAGTGCCTGAACATCACCAGTGCTCTCTTGAACATCCTTATTTGGGTCAGAGATCGCGACTAAGTTATGGTGCTGGCGTTGCATGGCAGTACTAGTTAGAGCCTACCTTAAGTCAACAAATGTCGTGCGGGATCGAAAGTTAACTTGTTGTGATAAACATTTAAGAACCAAACTCTTGGTATCGAACCTGAAGAAGACATCGGCTCTTCATAACACTTTTCCTCAGTCTAGTACAACTCAAAGGTCCGTGTTCAAAGTAAAATATATTCATCAATATTTTACATCGTGTTTACTTTCGGAGTGGGTTACAACATAAATACTGCTCCATTCAGTATATTAGTCGGTCTTTTACTTCTATCCTAAACACATTGACGAACTTCACAATCATCGTGCTCCCATCATCCATTATATCTGCGGGGTGAACAACACTCGACATAGTCACTAACTTATCATTAATAGGTTCTAGGATGTTAAAAGCTTTCTTGCCACTCAGTAAATCATTTCTGGGCTTAGCAATTTGGCCAAAAATGCAAAACTCCCCCTTTAGCTGATGATGTATATTGTAGATGTATCCGGTGGCTTTTGGCTAGTAGTTTTGATCCTTTTGGTCACGGTACAACTCCTATATAGCAGTCCTTTTTTGATAACCATATCATGACAACGAT